CTTGTTAGTCTGCTCCACTCTTCTCCAACTTGTTAGTCTGCTCCACTCTTCTCCAACTTGTTAGTCTGCTCCACTCTTCTCCAACTTGTTAGTCTGCTCCACTCTTCTCCAACTTGTTAGTCTGCTCCACTCTTCTCCAACTTGTTAGTCTGCTCCACTCTTCTCCAACTTGTTGATCCCGTTTACTCCTCTCCAACTTGGTCCGCTCCTTTCTTCTCCATATTGTTGGTTCGCCACACTCCTCTCCAACTCGTTGGTCTGATCAACTCCTCTCCATTTTGTTGGTTTGTCACTCTCCTGTCCAACTTGATCTGCTACTCTCCTCTACAACTTGTTTAGCTGCAGATCTGTAGCCCTCCGAAAAAATATATATATTGATAGACCGGAGAGCTACAGTGCCACCCATTGAAAAAAAAAACTGTATATTTATTGCGCTGTTTCTCGATTTATTTCTCCATGTTTTTAAACTGTCATCTCAAAATATTACTAATCGTATGTTCCTAACATATTCTTTCACTGTTTCCACAACAAAACATTCCTTATAATTGGTGTTAATAGCCCACCTGGCCCTGAAATCGAAATTACCGTAAATATCGTCTTTTTATACTACCATTTTGGTTTGCAAGATAATTCGGTCCTAAAGATCTGCAGCTACAACTTGTTGGTCCAATCCTTTCTTCTCTAACCTCTCCAACTTGTTGGTTCGTCACTCTCCTCTCCAACTTGTTGGTCTGCTCCACTCTTCTCCAACTTGTTGGTCCGCTCTACTCCTCTCTAGATTGTTGGTCCGCTCCACTCTTCTCCATCTTTTTGGTCAGCTCCATTCCTCTCTAAATTGTTGGTTTAGATCTGTTCCACTTCTCTTCATCTTGTTCGTCTGTTCTAATCTTCTCCAACTTGTTGGTCCGCTGCTCTCCTCCAACTTGGTCCGCTCGATAACTCCTCCCTAGATTGTTGGTCCGCTCCACTCTTTTCCATCCTGTTGGTCAGCCCCATTCCTCTCTAGATTGTTAGTCCGCTCCTCTCCTCTCCAACTTGTTTGTCTGTTCCACTCTTCTCCAACTTATTGGTCCGCTCCACTCCTCCAACTTGGTCCGCTCCACTCCTCTCTAAATTGTTAGTCCGCTCCACTCTTCTCCATCTTGCTTGTCAGCTCCACTCCTCTCTAGTTTGTTGCTCCGTTCCACTCCTCTCTAACTTGTTGGTCCGCTCCACTCCTCTCTAGATTGTTGGTCCGCTCCACTCCTCTCTGACTTGTTGGTCCGCTCCACTACACTCTAGATTGTTGGTCCGCTCCACTACACTCTAGATTGTTGGTCCTCTCCACTCCTCTCCATCTAGTTGGTCCTCTCCAACTTGTTGGTCTCTTCTCCATTTTGTTGGATTGGAGAGAATTGTAAGCCAATGGCCAGCAGAGATGTAATGTGTTTGCGAATTATGTTTATTTAGAAGTTAAAGTTGAACACGATTTGTAAAAGGCAGAGATCTATATTTGTCCCCTTATTACTCTTCATAAAAATCGTGTAATCATTGTTCACCGCTGTGCCAAAGTGGATAGACATTTTACATAGCTATTGTAAAACTCTCGGAAGTGATATCTTACCAGGGCAAAAGAAAAAGTTACCTAAGAAACTTGCATCATTTGCACAGGTTGTAAAAACACATGAAAACTGTTAGCAAAGGTCAAGTACTAGTAACTAAGATAGTCGCTCATTCTATATAGGAAAACAGTCAGATGTAACGGATGCAAAGGAAATTTAGAGCCTCGACTTTGTTACTTAGAATAATTAAGAAAGCATGTCCGAACCTCCTAAATACAATAAATGTTACTGTTTCACATTCTACATAAATAATTTTCTTTTTAATTTTTTCCCATAGTCAAATTCTATTTTTTTTCCAGCTCCAGCCTTAGATTTCTATCCCTCTTGGGGGATGCTTGCTGGGCGGTCAAATTTCTACTTTGATTTTCAATTTGTAAACATTTTGTGACGCACTATTTTACCTAAATTTCAGTACCCAGTAATAAACTCAATTGTTAAAGACTATATGAGGTGATTTGGTGTTTAACTACATGTATGTTTTAATTCTATAATTCTTTATCTTACCGTGGTGCATTGTCGCAAACCACGTTTAAAATCCATTCTGGAGAGAGCTATATGTGGATTCCGAATCGTGGGTTTAGACGATGACCTAGGTCTTTTTTTCACCTGCAGTGAAAGGCCTGGGGTAGTTTCAACCAAATTTTAATGTTAATCATCCAAAGTTACTTTTTTGCCAGCCAAGGTTTCTGATCCTAAATTTTTAAGTCTTAGCTAGCCAATGATTCTGATCTATTGAAGATTTCGGATCAGGGACCCTTGGCCTGCAAAGATCCTATGGATACTACTAGCAACTCAAAAGATGCTATGGATACATTTGTGGCTGGAAAGTAGAAATACATAGAGAAAATGCATTTAACTGGACCGGGAAACGAACCTGGACCCTTGCATCATTAGTCAGGTGCTCTACCAACTGAGCTACCGAGGCTGATATCCACAATCCAATAGCCCGAACTGCTACAAATTCACAAAACAGATGAAAGTGTTCATCGATTGGCAGATTTTCGTCTTTTGTGGATCAAAAGAGTCATTCTTAAGTTCGGTAAAAGTGGCTTTTCATTTGTAAGATCGGTGAAAAAATGAACGGGCGGGATTGAAACTGGCCGCTCATGGGGAGTGGCCGCTGATTAAGGGTGGCCGTAACAGCAGGTGCGACTGTACTTGACTTTTTTTCCCACTTTCACTGAAAGTAGAAGTTACTGTAGTATTAATTTGGGTCCATCAATCTGTCTGTGTTCGTTCTTTTCCAGATCATATTTCAAGAAGACTTGAGTTTTTGCAATTAAATTTTATGCGAAAACTCCATATGGCACTTGAAAGCCAAAGGTCAATGTACTGAATATATATATTTCGTTTGGATGAAACGCCTTTTTATACGATATAATATGAAATACCACAACTCCCTATCGTAAGAACCTTGTTGGTTTTGAGGTACACAAGATATGTTTGTAAAACACAGATGCCCCCGTATGGCAACATTGCTAAGGTTAAGCTTTCTCAAATGCAGATCAGATAAGTTGGTACCTAAAGTAAGGCCTTTACACAAGAAATACAAATGTGAACTATAAAACCCTAGCACCACATGTTCAAAGGTTATGACCAAGGTTAACGTTTTTGAAGAAAGGACTAACTCCGGGGTCAAGGTCAAAGGGTCAAGATTGTTGGGTTCTAAAGAAAGACCTTGTCTCAAAGATTACATATGGGAAGTATGAAAGTGCTGGTCATAACCGCTCAAAAGTTCTGGCCAAGGTTATAGTATGTAAAAAGTACGTCAAACTCCAAGGCCAAGGGGTCAAGGGTCTTGATATCCAATGAAAGGTCTTCTCACAAGGATTACATATGTGAAGTATAAAAGCTCTAGCCCTTACTGTTTAAAAGTTATGGCCAAGGTTAAAGTTAATAAAATGTACGTCAAACTCCAAGGCCAAGGTTAAAGGGTCAAAGTTGTTGATATCCAATGTAAGGTCTTCTCACAAGGATTACATATATGAAGTATGAAAGCCCAAACCCTTACCGTTCAAAAGTTATGGCCAAGGTTAAAGTTTGTAAAAAAGTAGGTTAAACTAAAGTTTTTTCGTAAGTACGGAAATTTCCAAGGTCAAGGTCAAAAGGTCAAAATTGTTGGTTTCAAACGAAATGTGTTGCCATAAAGAATTGATACTTTAAATATGAAATTCCTAGTATCTATCGTTTAAAAAATAGGGCCAAATGAAAATTCAGATTTTTTTGTGTAAAAATGGGTCAAACTCCAAGGTAAAGGTCAAAGGTTCAAGGTTCTTGATATCAAATGAAAGGTCCTGTCACAAGGATTAAATATGTGAAATTATGAAAGCCCTAGTCCTAACCGTTCAAAAATTATGGTCAAGGTTGTATTTTTAAAATAGGTCAAACGTCAAGGTCAAAGGACTAAAGCTCTTGGTATCCAATGAAAGTTTTTACAAGGATTACATATTTGAAGTATGGAATCCCTAGCCCTAACCGTTCAAAAGTTATGACCAAGGTTAAAAAATTAAAAAGTAGGTCGAACTCTAAGGTCAAGGTCAAAGGGTCACAGTCCTTGATATCAATTAAAAGGTCTTGTCACAAGGATTAAATATGTTAAGTATGAAAGCACTAGTCCTAACTTTTAAAAGATATGGTCAAGGTTTTTTTTTTGAAAAGTAGTTCAAACTCCAAGGTCAAAGGGTCAAAGTTCTTGGTATTTAATGAAGGGTCTTCTCACAAGGGTTACATATGTGAAATATGAAAGCCCTTCCCCTTACCGTTCAAAAGTTATTGCCAAGGTTAAAGTGTTTTCATAAGTACGGAAATCTCCAAGGTCAAAAAGTCAAGGTTATTGATATCTAATGAAAGGTCTTGCCACAAAGATTACATATGTGAAGTATAAAAGTCCTGGTATCTATTTTCAAAAGCTACGGCCAAGGTAAAATATTTGGAATTTTTGTGTAAACGTGGGTCAAACTCCAAGGTCAGGTCAAAATTGGTGGAACCCAAAGAAAGGTCTTGTCACAAGGAATACACATGTGAAATATGAAAGTCATACCTCCACTAATTTAAAAGTTATGGGCACGGTTAAAGTTTTTGCTGACAAACAGACAGACAGACGGACGGACACGACAAAAACTATATACCCCCCGAATCTTTGATAACGGGGGCATAAAAATTATATACTTTATACACTGAGTACAAATCTCCATGCCCCTTCCATTTCAAGTATATGGTAAGTTAATTTTTTTTTCTTTGCTTGTTGGATTTCTTTGGAAAATTGTCCCCTCCCAAGACTTTCAAAAGTTTGCAGCGGGTCTGCTCATATGTATAACTTTTTAGTACCGATCTGATTAATACAGGCTCAAAGTGCTCGGGTGAGCGGTGTGGCCGTTGAACTTCTTGTTTTAAACGCAGATTCTTTAGGTTGTGTTTTTGTTCTGGATCACATACTGCCAACATTCTCCATTCTATAAATATTCAGATGTTCTCTGTGTGTGTGGATTTCACAACAGCTCCATAGGAACATTATACTGTTGATTGTGATCACACAAAGTCAACTTAAAATATTGATAGACTTTTAAAGCATTTTGCAATTGACATCGACCCGAGTTAATTTTTTCCACCCGGTCGACGAATTCAGACATGTTTCGGTATATACTGATTCCATGACAGGGGTTTAAATCAGTTCCGGTGTAAACAATAGAGGTGGAGACGACCCCAATATACAACGCAGAAGCAGACGAGGGACGGTATAATTCTTGTTAACGGCGTTCATGTGTCGTGTAGATCGATAGAAAATTGAAGTCACTACGATTATTACGGATGGATATTAGTTTTTGTCTTATGCGTAATTGTCAAACACAACATTGAAAAGTCAACTCAACCCTATTCCATCAGCATGGTCTGACAACACAGAAGGTATCTATTACGAAATCTATGCATTATGTTTAAAAAAATTTTAATGCCTTGCTTGACTGATAGCTCATACACAAAAGTAGACAACGTTTGTAAATTAGTGTCATTATCGAAATCTACAAATGTATTGCGAAAGTAAACTAAAAGTAATGCACCATTCATCCTCAAAACATCTAGGATCCTTAAGCATGTTAAAACACTGATGGCCATGGACCCTTGATAAAATTCGTTTGATCTTTTTTATCACAAATGTATGAAATATTGTTAGTTTTTGTTCATCAATACAATCAAAATTACATTATAAAAGCTTGATTTCAGATCACTCCGACGCAACTTAGATACTTACTAAGTATCTAAGTGGCGTTGGATGATCTGAAATCAAGCTTCTTGATCTGCAATCAGGAAAGTAGCTGGACAACATACTTTTGAGCCACGTATATACTATATACTTAATTTTAGTATCTTGTCTTCAATTATTTTCACAAATATACTCTTTTTACAGAAAACACTCGCCTGAAGATGCTGAAGAAAAGCGCGCCACACAATGGCGGATGATCTGGAGAGAATCCCCCTGAATAAGTGGAACCTATTGAGTGGCGCTTTGCTAACACTGTTGGTACTTGGGATTGGTGTGACATTCCTGTTTATTGGAATTTTTGAGGATATCGAAGACTTGGTTATATTAGGGTCCATATTTTTAGTGTTCACAGTTTTCGTGGGCATCTGTGTTTTTTCAACAGTTATTCGCCCTTACATTAAGTCAGGGCGGGTTGAGGACGAGGATTTTACACGGACGTACAAACACGAGAGTGTCGGGTTTTCCCGGAGTGACAATGACTTGAAGTCGACGGCTGCTTCGTTTGAGCGCATTCGGATCGACAGCGAGGAGGATGGACAATCCATCTACGGACAGAGGCGTGCAGAGAGTGTTATCGTGGATGTCAAATCTAGAGCAAATAGTGCTCACAGTTTGCAACCGCCGACTGAAACTGACGGACGGAAGAAACGTGTAACTTTCTACTGAGATTAATTAAAACGGGTACCGGTATACTCTGACGTCAGATCTGCATGGGTTTCATGACATTTACCTGAAAATGATGACTAGAGGGTATTTTGTGATATTGGAACAATAACCGTCCTCATAGAATGCTAAATCTTGAACTTCTATATCATAGTCTTAGAGCATCAATCGGAAGATTACTGCGATGAGTATTTCTTTGCAACATTCGATGTCTCCCAATCTATTGGTCATGTTCTATACATTACTTTAGGAATATTATATTAATGTCTTTCATGTAGACTTTAGACGAGACAATGCACTCTGGCAATGTGCAGTCTTACCATTAATCCATCAGTTTCGTATTTGTTTTTATTTATTGTAATCATCCTTTCTTTCCAACAGATTTCAAATATGTCTATTTTGAGATTTTTATAACAAATGCAGAATATTTCTAATGACAATTTTTTGTGTTTCATTTCTTTTATCCAACCGAAAGAAACATGCAGACATAAAGTTTAATCTCAATTATCTTTTTTGGATATTTCTATAAAGTTTTACGAAGATTTGTTGTCCAAAAAGAATTGAACACTGTATCTTTGAACAAAACTTGACATGCATGCACATTTGACAGTGACTAGAAATAAAATTCAGAGAGTTGACCAAAAAATGCTCTAGAAAAATAAAGAAGTTGTGGCACATAATTTGAAGTTCAATGACGATATTTTTAAGATGGCCGTTTGGTTTTGTTTGGAAATATACTTAACAACTTTAGCGACATTTGATTATAAGTACATAATTTAAATATTCTCCTTCACCTTTGTCCTCTTGTAGAAAATGCAAAAAAAGTACGTATGTACCTGGGTATGTGTACATGTAATTATATATTCACAATATTGAGAATCGTAAAGTATGCTTGCAGTTCGGTCTAACTTCAAGCAACTGTTAGAAAATCCCTTTGATATACTAGCATACTATACATTTTTATGTCAACAGTACATTTTATAAGACGTGAAGATTTGTAAATTGCATATCATGATTATTTAGGTTCTCTTTCATATACCTGGATTCTGATGTGGTTTGACCTCGAGAAACTGTAGGAGAACCCTTTTAATAAACTTATAAAACCTGGTTGCACGTTTAAAGAACACCAAGAAAAATAAGAGATGATTTGGCCACTGTGTAAAACAAGGAGTTCTTGGAATTGGGTTTTCACAGAAAGAACGTCAAATGGCATCAAGGTTGAAATTTTTGAAACATTGTTACACATGCTACTACAAGACACCAACAATCATTCTCTTTGAGACAATTTGTTTACTAGTCTGTAGTATGTAAAATGCAAAAGAGGGTTATTAGAAAAAGGTATTGGAACAAGGACTTCATTTTTCAACCCCCAAAAAGCTCCTAGATGAAAAACCTTATTGCACATCGATGACCTCGGCAATCAAATTCAAATAAACGTGGGCTTCATCTCGGAGAAAATTCCTTGAAACTAGATTTACTTAACAAAACATAATTTTTTGTACCCCAATGGACATTTTAGGTGAAAACGAAGACAACCACGTGATATTCTAAAGATGAATAAGCTACAATGACTATTTTTAGGTCACCTGAGTAAACTCAGGTGACCTATTGCTATCTATTGGCGTCCGTCGTCGTGCGTCGTCCGTCGTGCGCCGTGCGTTAACATTTGAACATTTTCAGCTTCTTCTCTGCAACCACTCAATCAATTTCTACCAAATTTGCCACAAAGCATCTATGGATAAAGGGGAACAAAAATTGTGAATTTCAAGGTCCCCGCCCCCCTGGGGCCTGAGGGGTGGGGCAAAAACCTGTTAAATTAATGAAATCTTTAAAAATCTTCTTCTTTACTCCTGGACATCAAGCAGTCAAACTGTTTGCATGATTGTAATCAGCATTGAGTCCTCTACCAAAATTGTGAAATTTATGGCCCCAGGGTCAGGGGTTCTAGTGCTAGGGCGGGGCTAAATTGATTACAAAGTGAAAATGCATATATTCTTTGAGAATCTTCTTCTCTGCTCATGGGCATTAAAGAAACTAACCAAGTACATAGTTACGTTGAATAAGGTGGCCTCTACCAAAATTGTGAATTTCATGGCCCCAGGGTCAGGGGTTCTAGTGCTAGGGCGGGGCTAAATTGATTACATAGTGAAAATGCATATATTCTTTGAGAATCTTCTTCTCTGCTCATGGGCATTAAATAAACTAACCAAGTACATAGTTATGTTGAATAAGGTGGCATCTACCAAAATTTTGAATTTCAGGGCCCCTGAGTCAGGGGTTCTTGTTTTAGGGTGGGGCTCTAATGATTATATAGTGAAATGCATGAATTCCCTGAACATCTTATCTTTTGCTCCTGGTTAATATTCTAATGATCTAATTACATATTTAAGGCCAGGATTTATTTTATTTTCAGTTTTACAAACCCTCCGCTCAAGGTTTTGAATTTTCGGGAAAAAAAATAATTTTTTTTTCCGATTTCAAATTTGAATCGGGATCGAGATTTCAAATTTACGAACTCGCACTTCCGGTTTAAGATGAAACGGCGGGTAAATAAAGCTAGAAAGCCTTGATCTGCGAAGATATCATAGCTTGGTTTAGTGTAAAATTCATTGATAAGAGTGCCATTAAAAACGTTTCACCCGTTCAAAGGACAAATAAAATGCTGACGAACTTTGTTGCACAATGACATGTTGGTGAGATAATTATGTATTCGTTTCAAAAGTATCTGTCTGTAAATTATTTTCCTCCCACAGGTTTTAAATTGCCCATGGTAGCTATTGCATATTGCCAGCGACATTGTTTAGGCCTCTGTTACAGTCTAAGCATCATTCTTCAGAAAAGGTTTGCTCATGCATCAGATGTAATGAATAAAACTATGGGAGAAGTTAAGTCTATTTAAGGAAGATATAAACAGTAACCTGAAGAAATAAAAAAAAATCAACTATTAAAAAAGCAGGAACATATATATATACAAATACAAATATACAAATATATACAGGCATGTAGTATCATTTGTATCAGCCAGAAAAATTATTTTACACTTAATTGAAAAAAATGTTCACTCTACTCCACAATACCCCCCGTCTGTTTTATGATAGGAATTATAATTTTAGGCATCAAGTATATTTTAGAACAATGTCTACACATTCACCTAACACATATAAAAAAAATGAAGATATATTGAAAGACTTTTAAAGAATTGATTTTTTAAAATATATTTTGATCAACATCACAAAATTTATATAAATGGTCCAAACTGGCAGATGATGAAATAAGGAATTAAATGTTCTACTTTCCTATTTGTAAGCATTATGTGTCCAGTGGTAAGGAGCCTATTAGGATAGCATAAAAAAAAAGAATGTACAAATGTTGATAATTGATTTATCAAAAAAAATTTTTTTATTTCCTTCTCCCTCAGGACTTTTTCATTCTTATGTTCATAACTAAACCTAAAAATAAAAAAAAAATGCTGGCCTTATGATGAAGAAAGGGGCCTCTTTCAAAATAGATAATTTCAGGGCTGCTGGGTCAGGGGTACCAGGAGGGTACTTTGACTAAAAATGAATTAATGCTTTGAAATCTGCTCTTTGATAAGCAATGGTGCCTCTTCCAAAATTTGTGAATTTCATGGCTTTTAGATTAAAACTCGAACCAAATACAATCGCTGGAAAGTTGTTATATGATACTTAAGTGACCTATAAGGCCCGTGGGCCTCTTGTTGGTTTAACGTTTAAACCCAAAATAGTTATTGTTTAAACTTTAAACGTTAGAGGAATTTTTGGAAGACGATAGTGTGACAGACAGACAGACGGGTGGAGCTGTTTAGCAAAAATTTAACAGAGTGTAGATATACATGTACTAATATTGACTATAATTTCATTTTCATTTGCCACATAAAAATAGAACAAAGAAAAATGACGATGATGAGTACCTAAACTGTAGCTACAGTTCTGAAGCTTCTTCAACTGGTGATGTCTGTTTTCCCGCCAAATGTCAAAAGAAGTCGATTTTTTTGGTCAGATTCTACTACATTTTAATCATTACAAGATGTTTTGTGCTTAAAGACTCCTAAGTTCTAACTTTAAATGTCTTAAAATTATTGATTTCATGCAATCAAGTGTGAATTTCGAAATGAAGTATTTATGTCAATAGCAATCGTTTATTTGTAAAAAATGGAATTCTTCGTCAAGGTCTGTGAATAACGTAAACAACATTATATCGGTATATTTATACACATATTCCATGGAGATTTTCCATGGCGCGACTCTCCAGTTTTTTGGCTGCAGCCATTAGTATTGTTCTTGGTCTCTCTATCGGACTAGTTCTGTTAATTATAGGAATCGTGAAGGACATTGAGGATCTTATCATTCTGGGAGGACTATTCCTGGGACTTTTGTTGGTGCTGGTGGTGTTCATTATCATCTCTGTGAAAAAGAAGAAAGAACAAGAAATTGTACCTGTTCTTGGGTAGATCGATTGTTTATCGTGGCGACACACTTTGGAATTAAGTTGTGCTGCATCGTAGCAAACCACGTCCAAAATGTACGATCCTCTCCCATGCTGGTAGCAGTCTGTGCTGTAGCACCTTCTTGTTTTTTAAAGATCTGCATGTATGTTTTTAGTTTTTGTATTCTCTAAGTGATTTACCCGTTAATGAACGTTTAATAGCGTAGTCTAGAAGACGTGGACTTCCTGAGATCTCTAGATCAATGCTGGGCACTCTGGTATTCGTGAGATTGTTCATTTGAGCATGTTCAAATACTAGCAACCCTCGGACAGACAGATCGAGCAAGAGACTTTTTAAATTCACTTTCCCAGCGAACAAAAACTTAAGACTTTCTTTGAAGAAAAACTGCAGCCTATAATATGACTTTGTTGGCTAATTTACTCTCATAAACTTTATAATTTGTGCATGTGCACAATGTTGTTATAAAATAAAGATTTGGTGAAAGATTCATTAAATTGCATTCAGTAGTGGAGGAGATGTTTTGACTGAACAACCG